ATTTCGACCTGTTGGTACCGGCTCTTGCCACGCTTTTAGTGATATTATGGTTTGTCACCATGTCACTGACTAGAAACGCAGTTTTTAGGATATTTAAAGAGTAGGCTTGTTTGCTTCTGCAATCAAAAGCCCAAAGCACGTAAGTTCAATCTGAAGGACTCAGTCCACGTGACGTCGGCGTCATAACGGGTCACTTATTTGACACGATTCTCGGTACGTCAATGCACCATTCGTGTTGAAAGGCTCTGCGAGAACGCATGCCGGATTTGCTATTGGGGCAAATGTCAAGTTTCTACGTCATGCTTATAACCACTGAATTTAGCTCGCCGCAGACGAAATACATTTCCTTGCTTTACCATGCTTTAGAGTGATTTGCCATTTAACAGGCAATGGAACCCAGCGCCCAGACCGACGCGGAGTCCTCTGTTCAGTATTGGTGGTTACCCCAGAAACCCCAGAGGCGCGCTCAGAGCTCGGACCGACCCCTCCCCTCTCCAGGCCCCTTTTTTGTTTCAGCATCATAAAAGGCCTCTTTTCTTGTGATCATTGCTCGCCGACTTTTGGCCCCACCTTAAAAAGGTACTGGCTGCGCCTCTGGAGCCAGATCGACGCATGATTACCTTCAGCTGGCATTTCAGAGCCCATCTTGCAGGCCGTTGTCGATTTTTCCCAGCCATTACAACCCCTGGTTAGACCTTCGGACCCTTCCATAGGCTTCTTGATCGCTGTTCGAGACTGGTACGTGGCGCCCCTCGGACTTAATGCGTCTGTGAGGAGGGGGTACACTCCCCAGTCTCTACCCCCCCCCCCCCCCCTCCCCTCCTCCGGCCGCCCCCGCGTACACTGCTGTGTAGAGATTTCGTAAATATATTGCTGCGCTGGATCGGCAGAATCGTCGGTTGCCGACCACCACTGGCAGGTATTTTTCATACATGTGTTTCTAGCCAACTAATGCAAACAATGTGAACAGTAGCGCTGACAGAATCCGGTTGGTTCATCTTATTTCACGACATTCTGGAGCACAAGCGACATATTGAAAAACGCGTTTTACGTCTGCCGATTGCCATCTGATAGCGTAAGGCCGCAGGGTGCTTGCTCCCTCGTTTTTATCCCATTATCTCCGCTTCTAGAATATGTGGTGCTGGAGTTGTCTTCAGAGCTGTGACACCTTTGTTTCTGTTACGTGACAGTTCCTTAGATGTGAATTTCATGTACTATTCCTATCTCTATCTCTATGTCACTGAAGAAAGTGTGTGTGTGTGTGTGTGTGTGTGTGTGTGTGTGTGTGTGTGTGTGTGTGTGTGTGTGTGTGTGTGTGTGTGTGTGTGTGTGTCCGTTGGTTCACCTGCGGGCCAAACGTTCAGAAGTTTTTTTGCATGAGACTTGCCCACGACAGAGACCTACCGGCTGCGCTTGACAGAGTTACGTCAAAATTCTGCATTTCGCAAAAATGAACGCGTGCAGAGCAAAAACAGAACGCCAAAATCCCGCAGGATTAACACTGGCGACCCCGATTTTGCGACTTCGGCCGAAGGCCCGACACGCCTCGCTTTCCGGAGCCGTATCTCGGTAACCAACGGTCGCAGCGACACGCAATTTGCACGGTGCAATAGAGCATGGAGTGGGCCATCGCAATCGGATGCGTTTTTGGCGCCACGTCATGTTGTTGTTGACAAGATCAAATCGGCCGCTTTTGATGCGTTTTTGCGTTGACCGTTGTATCTCGGCCCGGCAAAAAGGCAGATGTCTGAATTTTTGTTCCCAACATTCCCAACTGAAGCGGCTACATGTTCAGTTTGCATTGGGAGCTTTTACAAACCACCGTTGCGCTGCAACTTGCAGGACAAATTGCAGGATGCCAAGCTATAAAAAACGGCGCCGAATACAAGCCGCTACTGTCAAAACGATGCGTGATCTAGCGTTGAAACTTGCCTCAGTGTGTCGGCCAATTTGTCCTGTCTCTAATGCACCCTTTGGTTGACCGCATTTCAAAAACTGTCGCTGGCAAATGAGCATAGACTAAGGGGTTCCATGACGACTTTGTCGTCGCGACGGCGGCAGGCTGCTGTCCTGACTCCAGGCGTACGCCCTGGACGATAAGGGCCAAAATGGGCGTTCGCGCGGCGAGCTTTCAACTTTGTTCATTAAGCCCCGCTTTACATTAAAGAAGAAGCAAGCTAGCTTGCCTTCATGCTTTCTGGAAGTTGGCCGGCAGACGGCGCGGGGGGGGGGGGGGCGCTGCGGGAGCGATCTCGGTCCAGGCATGGCGGTCGGCGGTGCGCTGCGCGTTGCGGTCGCCGTGCGCGCACAAGTGTCGGTTTTGTTGCGACGGGCGGAGTTTGAAAAACCGAAGCCGAATTCAAGCTGCCACCGTCAAAACCATGCGTGATTTAGCTTTGAAAACCACATAGGCGTGTTGGCCGGCTCATTGTCTCTCTTTACCCCACCTTCGCTGATCGCATTTCTGCACATGTCGTTCGTAAATGAGTCTGGATCGATGGGTTACACGGCGGCTTATTGCGCCGCGACGGGACGGCGTCGTTCGGTGTCTCGGCCGACGCCGGAGTTTGCTTCCAGGTTAAACGGCCGTCTGATGACGTGTTAGCTGCCGAAATTTATTACCTCCCACTGATTATGTCATCTGGCACTAAAATCTCGACAGCAATGGGTTACAGCCACGACGCGGGTATGGCACGAAAAGGTGTACGGTGCGAAAGGGTACGGTCACACGTGTCACGTGCCACATGCTTTTTCTTTCTTCCACGGGCTTGCAGGTTGTGTGCCACAGCTCGGCTTTCTGGTGATACATTGGCTGTTTTGGGTTTCTGATTCATTTGATGATCAGGGTGTAATTTTGGTGATGGAGGTGTCGAATCTAGATGGTGCTTAAGTTAATGTTCCTGAACGGAGTCGTGATGCCTTACTGCGCACAATCGCGGTGCCTTCGTGCTGATCTGCTTCCGTTGTGAAATGTGGCGCACCTCGCTCGCCGCGGCTCGGACGGCATCCTTTCGGTACCGGCGAGCGATCGCTGTACAATAGTCCGTGCTGCGGTGTGATGCTTCAGTCGGCGAAGATCAGACGCATCAAGAGTCAAGTTGCATATCGACGTCGGCTGGAGGTAAGATGTTGGCGAAGTAAGTCTGATGTTCACCGATTAGCAATGCCCTTGTTCCTCAATTGGATAATGCGAAGCTGGAAGCAAGTCGGTTAGATCCGGGCGAAATAAGACTAATGTTCGCCGATTGGCAATGCCGTTGCTTTCCAGCTGAGCCCCCCCCCCCCCCACCCCCCGCCAAAAACAGAAATATGTCGTAGCGCGCAGCGGTATTCCATTCGGTGTGGCACGTCAGAAACAACCCGCTCGAGGTTCCGTCATGGCCATGACCTTTGCCTGTTAAAATCCTTGATGAAATCGTGCACCGCACAGCGCACAGTGTCATCTAGCAAGGTAAGCGGCAACCCGTTTTCAGTGGCGCCCTTTATAACGCTGATTGTGCCTCCGGTCTGTGGTGCTGCCTGCATTCATAGACAAGGCCTGTTCTCTAGCAGCTGAAATGATATTAATCAATCACGTGCTGTGATAAGCCAAAGAATCATTCGTAGGACAGATGGTCGATCAACTCGATTGGATTCTTATTGATACGATTTGCGTAAATTTTCGCTCGCGCCCATGGCGTGCAATTATCGCACATGTGGTGTGAATGTTGCTTCGAGTGCGGGCGCCATGTTACCGAAAACCCGTGCAATATTCTGTCGGAGCCACGACCTTTCATATGGCATGGTTCTGACAGCACAATGGCTGACCAATCACATGCCGTTGTTGATATGCCATTGCTTTCCGATGAATACTCGGCGTGTGAGATTCGTCAAGAGAAGGCTCCATCTACCGCATTAAGTGTGAATACTGCATGCGTTAACTCTGCATTTGATCCTTTCCAGGCGACGGGCGATGTGGCAACCGGCGAGCATCCCACTGCGGCGGCGGCGGCCGCTACCGCCACCGTCGCTGACGCCGCCGCTGCCTGCGCCTGTCCGCGAGCCTGGCGTTGCGGCGCTGGGTCCGCAGCCCGAAGCCGTCGTCACGGCCCCGGCGCCGCCCGCTGCCGACGCGGCCGCCGCCTCGGGGCCGCCGCCGCAGCCCGCGACTAGAGCCCGCAACTCTCGGCAGATGGCGAGGAAGAGGGCGGCGAGGGCCTCAGAGACGGGACCGGAACGGACGAGACGGCTCTCCATCAACGCCGCAAGTACAGCTTCTGCCCGGCGACAAGAGGCATCGCTGGAGCGGCAGGAGTGGAACGCGCGGAACGCTGCCCGCCTTATCGCTGGCCGGCAGGAGGCGCGGCAGCAACGCGCCGCGCGCCGGGCAGCGCTGCACTATGCCAGAAGCACGTTTGTGACGCCGCCCGAAATGCAGTTGGGCCAGATGGAGGTCGTGTGCGCCCACTGTGGCGCGCTGCGCTGGTGACAGGAGTCGCCCGGCGCCTGCTGCCGCGACGGCAAAGTGGCTCCGCCTTGCCACCCGCCGCTGCCTGAAGTCCTGTGCCAGCTGTTTGAGCCGGAGTCGCCACACCATCAACACTTCGTCACCAACATGCGGGCGTACAACAGCGCGTTCCAGCTGGCCAGCATGGGCTGCAAGGAGGTGCATCAGCCGGGCTGGAACCCGACATTCGCGGTGCATGACAACACGTGCCACCGTGTCGGCAGCCTGTTGCCGGTGGAGGGCGCGCAGCCCCAGTACCTGCAGCTGTACTCTTCGAGCAGGGACTGAAGGCGCGTGCCAAAATCTTCACCACCTTGCAGCCGAATGTCATGCGGCTACTCCAGGGCATGCTGCACGAGCGCAACGCCTACGTGCGAGGCCTGCGCTCGGCGATGGAGCTGCTGTGCGAGGCGTGCTGTTCATCACCGTGACCTGCAACCCGCTGTGGCCGGAGATCACCGCTACTCTGGAGCGCCAGTACCTCGGACAGCACGCTCAAGACCATTCTGAGATCATGTCGCTGGTGTTTCGCCAGAAGGTCCGGGCACTGATGACGACACTCCGGCAAGGCGGTGCCCTCGGCCGCGTGCGCGCCTCCATCTACACCATCGAGTGGCAGAAGAGGGGCCTGCCGCACGCGCATATCGTGCTCTGGCTGGCGTCGGAGGACATGCCGCGTCCCGACCAGCTGGATCACTTTGTGCGCGCCGAGATCCCGGACGCCGACGCCGAGCCGGAGCTGCACGCCATCGTCACCACCAAGATGGTGTACGGACCGTGCGGCACCCTCCGTCCGACGGCGCCGTGCGTGGTGGACGGAGCGTACAAGAAGCGGTTCCCGAAAGCCTTCAAGTCCATTACGGAGGTGCACGACACGGGATACTCCCGGTACCGGCGCCGCAGCCAATGTGGCGGAGGACGCACGGTGCAGCTCAGCGGCTGGCCGGGCGGCGCCGTCGACGTCGACAACCGGTGGATTGTGCCCTACAATCCGTTCCTCAGTCGCGCCCTGGACGGCCATTTCAACATGGAGATCATCACCCACGCCGTCACGTGCATACGGTACGTCATCAAGTACGTCATTAAGGGCGGAGATCAGGTGATGTTCCGGGTGTCGGCTGGGGACGAGGTGGTGGACGAGATCGCCACCTACCAGCAGGGCCGCTACCTGAACGCCATGGGGGTAGCGTGGCGGCATTTCGGCTACCCTGTCCACGAGCACCAGCCGCCAGTGCAACAGCCGTCCGTCCACCTGGGCGGCGACGACCAACCGCTGCGCTTCCGCGCCGGCGTCAGCCCGCGTCAGGTGGCGGAGGACGCTGGCACCGACACCAAGCTCACCGGCCTCTTCAAGCGGTGCGCGGAGGACGAGTTTGCCCGGACTCTGCTCTGCCACAGTGTGCCGCGCTACTACACGTGGCAGACGGGAGCTCGGTGCTGGCGTCGGCGCCGCCGAGGCAAGCCGGACGTTGCCGGCATCTTCGCCGCGGAAGCCATCAGCCGCGTCTACACCGCCAGCCCACGCGCCGGGGAGGAGTTCTAGCTGCGCCTGCTCCTCCACAACGTGCGTGGGCCGTGCACCTACGAGGAGCTGCGCACGGTGGATGGACAGGTGAGCGCCACCTTCAGGGGTACATGCTCGGTACACGGCTTGCTGGAAAACGGCCAGCACTGGTACCGGACCATGGAGGAGGCGGCCGTCGTCGCCCTCCCCCGCCAGCTGCGGCGGCTGTTCGCCGTGATTGCCGTCGAAGGCCGTGTCAGCTGCGATTTGCTGCGACTGTGGCACACCTTCCGGCACGCCATGACCGAGGACGCACGCCACCGGCTGTCGCGGGTGGGCGGCGGCGGCGGCGTCGGCGACACCGACGAAGCCGACGGCAGTAGCGGGAACATCTAAGACACCGAACACGAACCTGGCATGCGCCTGATCTATGACGCGACCCTGCGCCTCATCGGTCGTCATCTCCGCCGCCTCAGCGGCCAGAGGCTGGTCGACGTCTGCCTGCCGCAGCCGGCCGGCGCCCCAAGCCAGCCGATCGTCGAGAACGGCGGCGAGGCGCTGGGCCGCTAGCGTGCGTTCGTGGCCGCCCGCCTGCCGCTGCTGACCGACGAGCAGCGCCTCGTCTACGAGGTCATGCGACGGTTGGACGCGGGCGACGGTGGTCCCATGTTTCTGCAGGCACCGGGAGGTAAGTAAGCAACCGCACTTTCAGAAGCGCAAAGTTTTGCGATTGCATCACGCCATCTGTGTCGTCAATGACGTCCGCAACCCCGCAGGGGCACCGGCTTCGGCCGGTATAGGGGACTAGCGCCCCCTCGGGTCCCAGCTCCGGTAACGGGTGGACAGCGCAAGCTGTTCCTCTCAGGGCGTAGCGACCCTGCCGGTACGTGAACTCCTGCTCCTTGTCCCGCGCCGCTCCCTCCACATGACCCGCACTCCCGCATCCGGCCCTATCACCACTCTTCATTCTCGTTTTATCGGGGTCACCGTGCCCCCTCGCCCACGTCCCCAGGTTGATCGGATTCTGGTGGCTGAGGGGCGCGTCGTGCGGGTCAGTCACGGTGCGTCCCAATACTCCACTTTCGCCAGGATATCCGGGGGCGTGGGGGGCCCGTGGGGCCCCACACGGGTCTAGCGACTTGTCGCTCGCGTTGCGGTTGGGTGCTCCTTGCTTGGGTGCTGGGTGGTCTGTGCGGGTCTCCGCTTGGGGCGCCTGGCAGCACGCAGCGGCTTAAGGGGTCAAGGGACGGCGGCGCTGAACCCCGGTCAGGACGGGGAGGGGTCTCCCCGGTTACACCTGGCCGTGTGGGAGGCGTCGTTCGCCCCGTGTAGCGCCGGGGTAGCCTGGCGGCACCACCACCCCCTGGGTGAGTGGGTCGTCCCCCAGTTGGGCTCCGAGGTGGGTGTGGAGTTTCGGTGTCGCACGCTAAAATTTTACATGCATGACAACTTTCATCTAAATAAAAAAACACCCGCACCCCGAAAGAGGGGCAGACTGAGGCTACAGGCGGTATTGCGTCAGCGCCTACCCCGCGAATCTTGATTTTCTGAAGCGCAGAGAAGCCGCTGTCGTCCCTTTCGCCCTTTCAAAGGCGAAATGGGTGTGGTCAGTTTGGAAAGGTACTTGTATCATGATGTTACTGGCGTGCACCTGAGGCCGCCCCTGCTCGCGCCGCCAGTGCTGGTTCACCTTGGTACGCCGCTGCCCCGACTGGCGGTGTGTTGCCTGGGGCGCCGCCCGCCGGGGTCGGCGCCGCCCGCTCGCCTCGCGGGTTAATACAGTTGCCGTCTCGCAGCGCTCGTGTCTGGTCTGGGCAGACAAAACACGTGAGACTTGAATATGGCGCAGCCGCATTGGACCCAGAGTAAGCTTAAGCAAGCATGAGTAACACAATAATTTAAGCAGTGTGAGTTGTGAAGCAAGTCGAGATGCCTGGATTTCGTCCTCCTGAGGAATTCGACTTCACATCGTCTGAGAGGTGGCCGACCTGGCGCGATCGGTTCGTCAGCTACAGACTGGCATCGGGACTACACAAAGAGGACGGTGACGTTCAAGTAGCTGCGTTGATTTACAGTATGGGTCCGCAGACTGAGCATATCTTACCAACATTAAAGCTTTCTGCTGAGCAGAAGGAGGATTTTGAAGTTATTGTCTCAAAGCTAGACGGGTACTTCATTCCGAAAAGGAATTTTATTGCAGAGCGTCACAACTTCGAGCTTAGATCTCAAAGCTCAAGCGAGACTAATGAATCGTACATCAGAGCTTTGTTCTCTCTAGCTGAACACTGCAGCTTCGCTGACGCTGATGAGCGTATCCGAGATCGTCTCATCTCAGGAATGTCTGGCAGGGAGCTGTCCCGTAGAACTCAGCTGAAGTCACTAGAGGAGGAAGTGTCTGTAAATATCGTCATTTCGATGAGGCGTAATGTGGAGATCGTGAACGGCCGTGACAGCTCTGGTCCGCCTGACATCAGTAGAGTTTGTGCACCGGCGCAGCGCAGGCAGCCGCGCCGGCAGCATCAGCAGTACAGACGTCAACAGCAGCCTTCCACCGCGCAACGGCAACAGCATAGTCGGCGTACCGACTTTTCAACAGCATGCAGACACTGTGGAAGAGCACGTCATGTGTCTCCGAAAGATTGTCCCGCTAAGGGAAAAATTTGTGACGACTGTCAGAAAATGGATCATTTTGCATCTGTTTGTCGCTCCAACGGTGTCAGAGCGATTGAGCGGACAGAGTCCATTGAACAGCTATCGCCGCCCAGCATTTTTGTTGGCGAAGTAGACGAAGCTTGCGCGCCATGGAGAGTTTCAGTCCTTCTAAATGGTCAACGAGTCGCTTTCAAAGTTGACTCTGGCGCTGATGTTAGCATACTGACGCTGAAAACGTACAAGAAGCTGAAACTGCCGCCGCTTCAACATGCTTCAAGTACTCTGACAAGTGTTGGTAGCGTGCTAAGAGTAGAAGGAAAGATGCACGGAACACTCATGTTCAAGAACAAAGCCGAGCCTGAAGTGTTCTACGTTGTTGAATCAGCTGATGATCTCCTCTCTAGGTCTGCTGGCTCGCGCATGGGCGTACTGAGGTTCACAGGTGAAGTCAACGAAGACGTCTTCGGAGAGGCAGGCCTTCTGAAGACAGCGCCGGTCAGCATTCAGCTCCGTGAAGATGCTGTTCCAGTCGCCCTTGCCACTGCAAGAAACATCCCGCTGCCACTGATGAAGCCGGTGGAAGAAGAGCTCAAGAAGATAGAGCATCACGGCATCATCACGTCGGAGACCGAGCCAACGGACTGGGTCTCTGCACTGGTCCCCGCCCCGAAGCCGAAGAGCAGCGGTGTCCGGATCACGGTTGACTACAAGAGACTCAACCAGTCTGTGAAGCGACAGGTGTTCTCGATCCTTACTCTGGGGCAACTGACCTCCAAGCTGAGTGGCGCGACGCTCTTCACCAAGCTAGACGCCTCTTCTGGTTTCTACCAGATCCCGCTGGACGAGGCAAGCTCCAAGATGACCACGTTCATCACTTCGTTCGGCAGGAAGAGGTTCCTGCGACTGCCGATGGGGATCTCGCTCGCACCGGAGTGCTTCCAGCGGAAGATGGAGGAGATGCTGGACGGACTGCCCGGAGTCATCGTCTACATGGACGGCACCGTGGTGTTCGGAGATGCTGCCAGTCACGATGCACGTCTCGAAGCCGTCATCAGGAGAATCCACGAGTCTGGCCTCAAGCTGAACAGGAAAAAGTGTGAGTTCCGGAGGAACGAGGTCAAGTGTTTGAGGATGAAGATCAGCAAGAACGGCATCAGCATGGACGAAGAGAAGCTCGAAGCGATCCAGCAGCTCCAACCGCCAAAGAATGTCAATGAACTAGGGTCTCTGCTCGGAGTAATCAACTTCCTGGGCCGGTTCATTCCACACATTCAGGAGTGCTTGAGACCACTGAACGAGCTTTTGAGGAATAACGTAGTATGGGTCTGGACACCACAGCAGCAGCAGGCGCTGGACGACGTGAAAGCAGCCGTCACTTCAGCTCCAGTTCTGGCGTTCTACGATCCAGCACGAGAGACGGTGGTCAGCGCCGACGCCAGCCGATTCGGCATCGGAGGATGCGTTCTCCAGAATCACGGCTCCGTCTTCAAACCCGTCGCGTTCTGCAGCAGAAGCCTGACTGACACCGAGACCAAATGGGCGCAGATCGAGAAGGAACTACTCTCCGCAACGTGGACGTACGAGAAAATGCACATGTTCCTGTCCCGACTGCCGTCGTTCGAGCTGCATCTGGACCACAAGCCTCTGATCCCGCTGGTTAACACGAAAAATCTCGTGGATGCGCCGATCAGATGCCAGCGCATGCCCATGCGCTTGATGCGATACAACGCCACAGCAGTCTTCGTTCCAGGGAAGCAGCACCTGGTGCCCGACTTCCTCTCACGTGCTCCAGAAGCAGGATGAAATCAACGCTGTGCTTCAAGAAGACATACATGGATTCTGCGAGAGAATCTTCAGCGATCTTCCCGCCACACCGCAGCGTCTGGTGGAGATCAGCAAGGCGCAGCAAGCAGACGAACCCCTACAACGCGTAGTTCAGCAGACTCTCTCTGGCTGGAAGGAGGGAGCGAAGCATCCCGACCTGCTGGACTACTTCGCCTCTCGGGGAGAGATGAGCGTTCTGTACCCTACGTGTGGTACACTGCTGATGCACGGGCGACGCATCGTCATCCCTCCGAGTCTGCGAGATGAAGTACTCACTCGACTACATGATGACGGACACTTCGGTCTAAACAAGTGTCGCCAGAGGGCAGCAGTATCGATCTGGTGGCCTTAACTCAGCATCGACCTGAAGCGTCATCTCGAGAGCTGCTCGTTCTGTCAGGTGAACGCGCCCGCCCAGCACGCTGAGCCACTGGTGACAACTCCAACGCCATCAAGACCGTGGACGCACGTTGCAGCAGACGTCTTCCACTTCAACAACTGCAACTGGCTCGTCACGGTGGAGATCTTCAGCAGGTATTTGGAGATACAACGCCTCCTGAGTC